TCAACTTTATATGGAGAAACAAAAGACCCAGGGTAGACAAAACAACCCTGTACAATAAAGGAACTTCTAAAGGCATCACCATTCCTGATCTCAAGCTTTATTATATAGCTATAGTTCTGAAAACAGCTTGGTATTGGCACAAAAATAGACAGGTAGACCAATGGAATTGAATTGAAGATCCTGTTATTAACCCACATTCCTACGAACACCCGATTTTTGACAAAGAAGCAAAAGTTGTACAATGGAATAAAGAAAGCATCTTCAACAAATGGCACTAGCATAACTGGATGCTGGCATAACTGGATGCTGGCATGTAGAAGACTGAAGATAGATCCATGTCTATTGCCATGCACAAAACTTAAGTCCAAATGGATCAAAGACTTCAACATAAATCCAGCTACACTGAACCTCTTAGAAGAGAAGGTGGGAAGTATCCTTGAACGAATTGGTATAGGAGACTGCTTCCTGGACATTATGTCTTTAGCACAGACACTGAGATTGACAATTAATAAATGGGACCTCCTGAAACTGAGTAGTTTCTGTAAGGCAAAGGATACAGTCAGCAAGAAAAAACAGCAGCCCACAGACTAGGAAAAGATATTCACCCCCCCCATAGCCGAATAAGGGCTGATCTCCAAAATTTACAAAGAACTCACGAAACTAGTTTCCAGAACACCAAATAATCCAATTAAAAAGAGGGGTACAGAACTAAATAGAGTTTTTTTCAATAGAGGAATCTAAAATTGTTTGAAGACACATAAGAAAGTGCTAAACATCCTTAGCCATCAGTGAAATGCAATTCAAAGCAACTCTGAGATACCATCTCACTCCTGTCAGAATGGCTAAAATAAAAAACACCAATTATAGCTTATGGTGGAGAGGTTGTGGAGAAAGGGGAACACTCCTCCACTGCTGGTGGCCCCAACTTGTAAGCCACTTTGGAAATCAGTATGGAGATACCTCAGTAAAATGGGAATGAGTCTTCCACAAGATCCAGCAATTCCTCTCTTAGGCATATACCCAAAGGGTGCACATTCATATAACAAGGACATCTGTTCAATGATGTTCATCACAGTATTATTTGTAATAGCCAGAACCTGGAAGCAACTTAGATGCCCCGAAACTGAAGAATGGATAGAGAAAATGTGGTACATTTACACAATGGAGTACTATTCAGGGGGAGGAAAACAATGAAATCTTGAAATTCGCAGACAAATGGATGGAAATATAAGAAACCATTCTAGGTAAGGTAGCCCAGTCACAAAATGACAAACATGGTATGTTCTCACTCATATATGGATATTACACTTGGAGCAAAGGATTGCCAGCCTACAATCCACACTGCCAGAGAAGCTAGTAAACAAGGAGGATTCTAAGAGAGACATACATGGTCCCCTGGAGAAGGGGAAAGGGACAAAGATCTCCTGAGCAAATTGGGAGCATAGAGGAAGGGAGAGGGAGCTAGGAGAATGAGAATGAGAGAAGAGAAGGAGTGAGGAGGACATAAAGGAGCAGGAAGGTTGTGTAGGGGGAAGAATAGAGGAGAGCAAAATAAGAGATACCATAAGAAAGGGAACCATTTTAGGTTTAAAGAATAATCAGGCACCAGGGAAATGTCCAGAGATCTACAAGGATGACACCAACTAACAATCCACGGAACAGTGCAGAGGCTTCCTTAAATTCACTTCCCTGAGAATGAGATTAATGAGTAAATCATATGCCATCCTAAAGCCTTCATCCAGCAGCTGATGGAAGTAAAACAGATACCCACAGCTAAACACTGAACTGAACTGGAATCCAGTTGCATAGAAGGAGAAGTGATGAGCAAAGGGGTCACAACCAGGCTGGTGAAACCCACAAAAACAGCTGACCTAAGTGGGAGCTCTTGGTCTAATAGCTGGGAAACCAGCATAGAACTGATGCAGACCCAATGAATGTGGGTGTCAGTGAGGAGGCCTCAGAAATCTATGGGGCCTCTTGTAGTAGATCAGTACTTATCCCTAGCATAGGAATGGACTTTGGGAGCCCATTCCACATAGAGAGATACTCCCTCAGCCTAGACACATGGGGGAGGGCCTAGGCCCTATACCAAAGGATATGACAGACTCTGCAGACCCCCCCCATGGAAGGCCTCACCCTCCCTGGGGAGCAGAAATGGTATGTTATAGGTAGGGTGGTAGTGGGGGGCAGGGGAGGAGGGGAGGGAGAGGGAACTGGGATTGACATGTAAAACAATCTTGTTTCTAATTTAAATTAAAAAATGGAGAAAAGAAAAAAAAGTGCAGTGCATTAGTCGTTTATGAGCTATCCAGGAAGGATGTACAGACAGGTCTGAGGCAGCCATAAGGGAGTTAAGGCATCATAACTGGTTGAACATTAGCAGAGATTTGAATGGAAAAGAACTTGGGTAGTGTAGCCCTACTATAGTAGAGGATAGGCCTCAGAAATTGAAGTTAAGAAAATACAGGGTGTAATGTGAAATAGTGCTAATAGGATCAATGTGGTAACCATACACTCTTAATATTTTGAAACATTACATGGTCATCTCTGGGCTTTGGGGAAATGGATTCTAGGATCTCCTCAAATATAAATTTAAATAAAATGTACAAGTCCATCATATAAAATGGTTGACTATTCCCATATAATATATGCACATCTTCAGGTTATCATTGTGATACCTAAACATGTGACTACTATGCAGAGTTGTTGCTTGGAATTAAGTAATAACAAACAAAATAATCCATACATGTTCAAAATAGGTAGAAGTTTTTATTCAAACGGATGTGATCTGCATTTGGCTGAATGTGTGCAACAAAAGTGGAAAGTGTAGTCATGAGCAGCTTTTGTACTTTTAACTACATAGAAAATATTTCTAGAGTAGGTTTTATGTTCATAGCCTCTGTGGTAACCCGGTGAAATATGGAGGAAGTCAAAATGTACTTACCCTTCAGTGGAAATGAATATTAAATTAATTAATTAAGCTAAGGTCAATTGTGCATCATGTTTTTCCTTTCAACATATTCATATTGCAAGACTGAAATGTTAATAGTTTGGAGAAGTATACTCAGGACATCAGTTGGAGTAGTTGGAAGTTCAGGATCAAACAACTTCTACAATGCAAATATTCAAAAATTTTTTTGCTTGAGATTATAATATAATTACATTATTTCCCCCTTCCCTATTCTCCCTCCAAAGTTTCCCATATACCCCTCCTTGCTTTCTTTTGAATTTATGGCCTCCTTATTCGTTAATTGTTTTTTCATTCATATGTGTATATGCATATACATATTTGCTAAAAAACAGCCTGCTCAGCCTATATAATGTTATTCATATGTATTTTTCCGGCGCTCATCATTTGGACTGGATAATCAGTTGTTGTAGTCTTCCCTGGGGAAGACTGTTTCTTCTACTCTCAGTATTTCTTACTTTCATGTAGTTCTTTATGTTTAGTTGAGGACTCTGAGATGGTCTTTTCTAGTAATGTCAGAAGCTATACCCGTAATGTCTCACTAATACAACTACTTAAACATGAGTTGAACATGGCCAACAATAGACATGCTAAAGTGTACAGTGAAAACTCATGATGTCTCATACTATTTATTTTCATTCCTGAGAATTTTTTTTCTGTTGCTTGGAACCAATTTATTTTATACATTTTTTAAAATTAGCACTCCCCTGAAAGATCAATTTTTTTCAAATAAACACTCTGTGAAAGTTAAAAGTAAATTTTGAAACTCTTTATTATATCATAGGGACAAAAGCCAAGATGGATGTTCAGACATGGTATTTGAAAACTTCAAAGCTGGCCCTGGCTTTGGCGATCATCCACTCAAAACCTGCAGACAGAAGCAGCAGAGAATATACAGAGCACCTTGCCACCTTGGTGGCCCAGAAGGAGCCCAAATGCCAATCAAAAGTTGAAGCTCTAGAAGCTGAAGTTCTACAATTACGTCAACAACTTTTCCTGAGTAGGATTTCCTCAGGGTTGTTTAAGAATGGTGAGTATGTGAAATCAGTTTTCAGTAATTTATAAACCTATTATTACCATAAATCACTAGAAATTTATCACAAAACCCCGAGAATGTTTATTTCTCCCTTTTGCCCCATATAACTTCTTTTATTTTGTTTTTGCTTGTTTGTTTTACTTTTAGTTAATCATTACAAGTTATTTTTACCTTCTGATGAATGGAACTACATTAGTCTAGGAGATTAAGTAAACAGAATTAAAGTACTCCAGATGTGAAAACAGTTGTTTATTATTGTTATTGTGTTAATGAGGATTGAACCTAGGGCCCTGAATATCTTTGAGCAAGCATTCTACCACTCAATAACAATCGTGCTTGAGGTTGACTGAAGAAATTTATTTTAAAATTTCATTCTTAAATGCAGTAATATTTTTCTTTTTATAATAGCTGACATTTATACAGTACCAGTTCCTTGTGAATAATTAAGCCCAAAAATATACAAGATGAGGGACTATTTTCTCTTTTGATCACCTACCATTCTAGTGGAAGAAACAGACCTAAAATCAACCCAGTTGTGATGTATTACATTAGAAGGATAAAATGCCAAAGAATCCATTCATCCTTTTTAATTTCTTTGAAGGTTCCAGAGGTCTGGCCCTTCAGGTTTGTGTACTTGTCAATGAAATTGTTGCAGGGGATCTAGCAAATGTTAGAAGTATGAGCAAAAAGAGAGGAGTAGAGAATACACACCCATTCAGACACGAGCACTGCATTTTGGAGTAATCAGATTCCTGTAAGTCTGTTGGACATGACAAGAACAAAGGAGAGTTGAGGAGAAAGCTCAGAAAAGCCCCAAATATCAAGCTGCTTCCAAGAATGAAAACTTAGTGGAGATATATTTATATTATTAAATGTTTCTTTCTGGAGTTTTCAGTGTTTCTATTTGTAACTCTTCTTAAGTGTTCAGAAGCTCTCAGTAATGCTGAATCGAACACTTCTTGTAGGATTGAGAGGCTGGGGAACATAAATTACAGAGTCAACTGTCCATTGAACCAATGGAACAGTCTAGAATTAAACAAACCAGTGCTGAAATGGTTTATAGAGCATCTTAGGAACCCAGATAATTCTGTATTCTCGTTTTTTTCTTAACTTTCTTACTGGGGATTATATTCCTTAAGGAACTAAACTACAGAAGGGATAAGTAGAGTCTAACTTTAGAACTATACCACATAGCAGGTTTTTATTTCACTGAAATGTTCAGTAGTAGTAAAGAAGGAAGTATAGAAAGAAAAGAGTCTTTTTTTTTTTTTTGGTGATTTGTGCCAGACACAATTCTCTATTCAGTAAGCAGCTCCTTTCTTTTTTAAAGTTCTTCATTTTATTTGGAAAACATGCTCGTGTCCAGTGGGTTGACCCATAAAAGGCTTACGGCTGTTTTTTGAGAGTTTTGATCTATTTTTTGTGGGGCCCAATTTTGGCCAATGAAAAAAGGAAAACAATTGGGAGAATCTACCTCTTTGGATGAAGAGCTAGAGGCCCATGAAGAAAGACAGAAATTCGAAAATCCGTTTTCCTCAACCTCTTGTTTCTTGTATGCACTGTGCCAAGCCCACAAATGATTGTTAGCCAATTGCTAATGTGGTCAGAATGGAAACCTATGAGGGTGAGGTGAGCCTGCACCCCAGTGACATTGTCCTGTAGATGAAGCAGTTCTCATTAGCGAACATTTAAAAGATGGAGGATGGTAAAATCATTGTTTGTCATTTCTGAGGAATGGTTGGACATCATGAATGAGTGTAGTTAATAATGAGCATAGTACCTATGTTGTGTAGAGGAGAAAATGCGAGAAAAATAATGTCCTTCAGTCTGGAACAGCTTTGTTGAAAATGGCCACATAAAGTTTGCCAGTACTTAATCTAGGGTTGAATAAGTGGAAGAGAGAAATTTAAAAGCACAGACTTATGCCAGGAAGGGGTTAAGGGCCCAAAAGGGACATAGAAGGACCAAAGACATGCCAACATAGGAAACAGATCAGACCTTCAGAGGTTTAGCTCTTCCATGAAAATTCTGTAGTGGTTAATATTGCAGACAGAAGCCATCCTTCATCCCAGCTCTGAATCTGATTGCTTGATTTAGGCATCATCTTTGCAGATGCTGGGTTCTAGGACTTTTTGTTAGGTGCTCAGTAACCTCTTGAGTTAAGTGGTCTCTGCTTTGTGTGTATCACTGGAAGCTCTCCATATCTGACTATTCCTAATGAAAATTGTTTTACCTAATTATTCAAATTCAACTGTATAACTTTACCTCTCTTGCTAAATTTATCCTAATTAAAGTGTATTTATTGATGCAGCATCAGCATTTCCTACTCTAGACTATACCCAATCTCAAGATTTCTGATTGCTTTGGAAAGAAGTCTGAAATCCTTAAGTTGGACTACAATGTTTTCAGTGTTTGGAGCTTACTTGTGAATCTATCCAAGCCTCCTAACTTTGGGTTCCTTTATATTCTGTCTTGTTGCATAGGGAAGTTTTTCACTTATATGCCATCTTCCTTTTGCTTCCTCCCCAAGCTTCTTCCTGCATTGCTTATGTATAGTGGGATATCTCTTCTTTCCTTTTTGTCTGCCTATATACTATTCATATTTTCCTGATACAGTTTCAATATTCTACTTCTTCTCACTACCTCTGTAGACTAAATTAGATTTACATGCTGTGTGTCTCATAGTTTGTATTTGCACTCCATATGTAAGGTAAATTCTAAGTGTCTAATTCTGCTGGCCTTGGTAATCTACACCATGATTGCAGGAATTATGTTGATATTCATCATCAGTATAATCAAATTTTTAGCACAGTGCCAGCCTTTTCAGGGGTAGTTAGTGACTATTTGTAGAAAAAAATGATAGAATAAATACATATATATACATGTTGATATTTGTAAAAACTATCCTTCCTCGTGTGTGTGTGTGTGTGTGTGTGTGTGTGTGTGTGTGTGTTGGGATCTTCCTAGTCCTTGTAGCAATAGGTGTAGACACAGAGGAAATCTAGCATCTTGCTGAAGATCGTGTTGGTAGAATGAATCTCTGACTCCTGCCACTCAGGGAGTTTAATCAGATCAGAATAAGTGGACAGTGACAATGGCAACTTCCTTTCTTTGAAACAGAAACTAAAATTATTTAGAATACTTCCAAAATTTTAGATGTTTGCCCAATGTGATTTTTTGTTAGTTCAAGCAATAGGACAGATATTTCTCCATATTATTATTATTACCATTATTAATTTGGCTCTAGAAATTGAGCTCATGGTCTCATGAAGTATATACATTATTTCTTAGCTATACCCCTAAACCTACAACAAATTTCAATATTCTTCTTATGTTTAGGGCTATGTTTTAGCTTTTGACATATTGTATATGTGCTTTTTAAATGCCTCAATGTTAATCTGTTTTTGAGATTAACACTATATTAAAATTTTTAATGTGCTTTTCTCTCTCTCTGCCCTCCTCTCTTTCTGCTCCTGTCTTCTGGCCTCCCTTTGTGTCTCTGTGTCTCTTTGCCTCTTTTCTCTTTCCTTCACCTTATCTTCCCTTTCTAATAAAACTTCTCATTCAAAAAATTAATATGCAATGATTCTGAATTAAATATTTAGGCCTTAGAGCCTGAAATTTATATTTTAGAATAAATTCAATATTCAGTGAACAAAACTCATTTAGCTATTGGTGGAAAATGTACAGTATGCTGTCATTCTCTTTATCAAAGCAAAAATAAAATCAGATAAATGAGGCAAATGGGGTGGGGCTAAGACTCTCCATTTCTGTCCATATTCTAGTGTGGAGAGGTGCTGGTGTGACTGACAAGGCTGAGACTTCTCCTTTAATATAATGAGCTTGACTGAAAGGAACAGGAAATAATAACAGTAGTTGGGTAATGTGTGAAGGTAGTTTGAAAGAATTAGAAGACAGGAAAATAGGAGATATTGAAGAAGGGGATCCTACATGGATCCAGAAAAAAAAAAATGAGTGGAAGCAGGAATGGGTGCCCTGAGTTGTAGGGGAAAATGCTGACCACACCCGCTTGGCGCTGGACACAGATATCGAAAGGGTTTAAATATCAGAGAGGCACACACATGGCTCTCTTTTTCTCTTCCCCCCTGACTGAGCAAACGAGCAAGCATCCTGTGTAAACCTGGTCACTGGCTCCATTTCATGAGTACTTTCTTAATAAAATATCTGTGATCAATCTAGTTCTGACTCTACATTGCGTTTGACTTTATTGAGTCCCAGGGAAGGGTCCACTGTAGATAGAAGTTTCTGACCCTCCTGGTCCTGTAGCCATTTACTTCCAAATAAACATACATAGTCTTATATTAATTAGAAACTGGCCTATGGCTCAGGCTTCTTATTGGCTAGCTCTCTAGTAATTATTAACCCATTTCTATTAATCTGTGTATCTCCACATGGTCTTGGCTTACTGTAGAATGCTCAGGTGTCCTACTTTCCCTGTAGCTACATGATGTCTCTGCTTTTTTTCTTTCTTTTCCCTGCCTACTTGTTTGGAATTCCTGCCTAGGTGAATCATGCCTGTCCATTGACTGTAACAGCTTTATTCATCAGTAAAAGCAACACATATTTGCAGCATACAGATGGATCTGTCCCATCAGTCCACATCTCAGAGGCTCTCATTGTCTGGCTGGACATCATTTTGGCATTATCCTTTAAGGTTCACATTTTTCATCTGTTCTTCAAGTAGTCTTTCCTTTGTGTCCCTGTTCAGTGTTGAATGAGGAAAACGCAGTGAGGAACTCATCTAGAATGAAATAAATGATATCAAATGGAGTGGGGTCCTGTGGAATCCTCAACAATGTTCTCCTCTGTCATTAAGATATGTACTTAAATCAGTAGCATCAGTTAGGAAGTTGCTGGGAAAGTAAAATGCTTAAATCCTACCTGAAAGCTGAATAAGAAACTCTGTACACCCAGCAACCCAACACAACTCTTTTAGGTGCTCATGATAAATGCTGAAATTTCAATGCAACTGG